AGAACTGTGCAGCGCTGACATTTCTGATCTCTATTTTAGTCAAAAAAGAAAATAAAACAGAAAATGAAAAGTAAAATCTCTTTAATTACATCAGTCAAATATTTGTAAAATATATTTAGTCTCACATTTGAAGTACTTTACAGAAATTGTTAAACGAATGTGAGTCTGTAAAAGAATGACTGCTATCTTTAAAACTCTGCAAAGGTTTCTGTGAAGGACTCGAGAGAATGTGTGTCGATATAAAACACAGATGAAGCTCCTGTAGTAAAGTTTCTCTTCTCTCTTTGTGTCATTAGTGTAAGATCAGGCTCACATGTGTCTGTGAAGAGTGACCGGTCAAAGAATGGTCACATGCTGAACTTCAGTGAGAAAAAAACATCTATCAAAAGGTATTTATTATCTTTGACATTATAATGTAGTGTTGGCTTATTTCTCCTCTAAGATGCTTGTGATAGAAATGAATGAAATAACACAATACATCACTGATTTCCTCTTTATTGAACTCAGTCTGGAGCTTCTTTCCAGAAACACAATTACACAAGCAGCCACAAGGAGGTATACATTAACCATGAAAAATAGATCATGCAGCCAAACATGAATATGTCTTTCCATCTCTCCATAGTCATAGATGAACAAATGCATGTCTATACTGAGCTTAATTACCATCCTCAACAGTAAAGCTCTTTAAATGAGACTGAAGCAGCTCCTGTAGTAAAGTGTTTTGTTCTCTGTGTCATTAGTGTAAGATCAGGCTCACATGTGTCTGTGAAGAGTGACGAGTCAAAGGGTGCACCACCAAACTTCAGTGAAGAAACATCACGAACCAAACAGTATTTGATGTGTTTCTTATTTTTCTTTAAACATAGACTGTGTCAGAAAGTGTATCAGCGAATAATTGTCATAAAACTTATAGTCCATAAATTTATCACAGTATTGTTTTTCTCTTTGCTAAAACTGTTTACAATATATTTTGGTCATATTTGTCCTAAAAATGCAGTATTTTGATTTATTTTATTTACTATTAGGCTTCAGTATGAAACATTAGATCCAGATTTACAGTCTCACAGGAACCACAAGCATTTTACAGACAGTCTCCTGCAGATCTTCCAGGTAATAAAACACATTTTCAGAAATATTTAATAATTATAATAAACAAATATGTTATTGAATAAGAGCATGACATACATTTTATTTCTAATTTTTCTGAATGAGAACCTATTTTAATTCATATTTACAGCTAATTAACGTTTGTCTCAAATTGATTTTTTATGAATATTTTAATCACTGAATAAATAATTTTGACCAAATATAGATAAAGATTTTTTCTGTCATTTATTTTTATCTTGCTTTGTAGGATCTTGAGA